GCGCGGATCGGGCGATGAGCTCTCGTTTGTATTCGCGATCGGTGGCGACAAGCGCCACAAATGGATCCAAGAGATCGAGTGGGTGCTGGAGGCAGGGAGAATGTCGCCGGCGGCGGCATCAAAACTTGCCGGCAGACTCGGATGGGGCTCCTCTGCGGTGTTCGGCAGAGGCACGCCCAAGCTCCCGCGCGCGAGCGACGCGCGCGCGCGCGAGAGCGACGGCAGGTGCCCGGGTATACCTCGCCCCGCTGTTCTGGCACGCGCAGCAGCGGGGATGGAGGTTGAAGTCGCGGCTCCGCGGGGCATTGGAATGGTGGCTGCGCGTCCTCCGGAGCGCGCCGGAACGAGCGGTGCCCCTGCGGGTGACCCCGGAGCGGCCACGCTACCTCGTCTATTCCGACGCGACGGGCGGCGGCAGGCGACATACGCGCGCGCCTGTTTGGAACGGCGCCCGCATTGCCCGGCCCGCCCCGCCTCCGCTGGCTCGCGTGGGTCATCATTGGGCCCAGCGGTAAGCGCTATGCAGCGGCTGATGTGCCTTCGTCGATCAAGCGGTGGACGAAGCACCGCAAGACGCAGGCGGGGGCGCCCCGGCCACGCGTTGCCTGGCGGACAGCCCGCCGTGTTGCGAAAGGTCGCGGCATGGGAACTCGTCGCGGCCGTTTGCGCCTTGCATCATTTGCTCGCGACGCTGCGCGATGCGGAAATCGTGTTGTTTGTCGATTCGAAGGCGCGGCCGGGCGCGGGTCGCCGAGATGCCCGTGCGATGCTCCGCTGACCGCGCCAGGCCGCGCTCGGGGTGCTCCTACGCGGGACCTCGCGCCAGGCAGATTATAACGCGCTCGTGGCAGATATTTGGTTCGCAGCAGCGACCGCGCGGTGCCTCCTGAGCGCGTGGTATGTGCCATCCGCGCTCAACGTGGCAGACGCCCCTACGCGGCCCGCCACGAAGGCGGCCGCGATTGCGGCCATGCTCCGCGAGGGCTTCACCCGAGTGGCGTGGCCATGGCCCCGCGCGGCGCCCTGGCATTCGCGCGGGCATGCATAGCAAGTAGCACAGGGCAATTTGTAGGGGGCGCAAAGGCTAGCGCGGCGAGCGCGTGACGACCAGGCCCGCCGCGAGAGGGGGCCCGCGGGCGCCATGCTTGCGTGCTTGTCACACGCGTCGCGGTGGACGCCCGAAAATGATTCGCTTCCGGTAGGCGCGGAAGCTCTGCAGTGTCTGACATCCATGCTCGCAGCCGAAGGAGCGGCGTATCCCCCCGACCTGTCCGGATTCACGGCGAAGGAGGCGAGGGAAATGTTCCCGTGCCTCCGGGAGTGGTCAGAGTGCTTCACCGTGACGCTTATTACTCACGCGCGTAAGCTGACCCACGAAAAGGCAAAGCGGCCCCGGGTGGACGATGCAGCGGCATCGCTCTCCCAGGTCGAGCGCGCGCGCGCAACTCCGCCCCATCCGGCGGAGCAAGCAAGGCCGGCCGCCGCCCGCTGACCCGTGGGCGCGAAGGCGGCGGAAACGTTACTCGAGAAAGCGGCCAAGTGCCCGGCTCCGGCACCGGGCTTGCGCGCGAAACGCCGGCCCGGCGGGGGTTTGACGCCTCAAGAAGCCCTCGCGTTGCTCTCAGCGGCAAGGCAGGCTCGGCAGGCACCACCGCGCGGCGCCACCGTCCTCGTGCACCGCGCGCGGCGCGGAGGTACCAGCGCCGCCGATGCTGGCAGAGGCAATCCGCCAGCTGACGAAACTCCAGGCTCCGCCCGCGATATTCATAAGCGAAGGCGGCATTCCGCGGGAGGTGCGCGCGAGGCAGGACATCGGCGTGCGGCGGGTGCCAGGAACACCTCGTCGGCGCGCCGAGGAATTGCGGGTGTCAGGAGCAGGACTGGAGTGCATGCGCCGCTTCCAGATGGCCGCGCTGTGGCGAGAATTCCACGCGTGGAAGCTCTCGGCATACCCGTATGCCTCGGCGGTGGAGTTGCACGGCCAGGCGTGCGATGCGGCAGGCGTCCCGCCCTGGCCGCCGTGCGCCATCGCGCGGGACATGATGGTGGCGCTCTGTCGCCGCCCGGGGACCATGTCGAACTATTTGCAGGGCATTCGCTCAGTCCTGCATCTGCTCCGCGCAGACACAGGGTCTTTAGCGGACACGCGGACCCTGGTATTCGGTGCCCGAAAGGTACGGCCGCCGCGCGCGTCGGCCGCGAGCCCATGATATCGGCGGCAGGCGGAACCGCCTGGTGCGCAAAGATTTCGCGCGCGCCACGGCCGAAAACGTGCGCGCGATGTCGGATTGGCTGCGCGAGGCGCGGCCGCGCGCTCTTCGAACTAAGCGGCCTGCCGTGCGTGCCGGCCCGCGGGGCTGGCGTTTGGCAGATCGGACGCGGCGATATGGCCGACGCTTTCGTCATATGCTGGCAGTTCTGCTTGCGCTTCGGCTCCGAAGTAGTGGGGCTGAATGCGCCTGGGCATAGTGCCGTCTCGCTCCACGTAGACGAAGGGAAGCACCAGGTGCAGGTGCAATTCCGCCAGCGGAAGGGGAGAGTGGCTCCCGACCCGGCGGGCCGAGCGCGCGCGCGCGGCGGGGCGCGCCCCGGGCTCCCCGCATCGCGAGGTCTGGAGGCTATGCGTATGCCAGCTCCAGGGCAAACGATTGTGTGCGGTCTGCATCATTCGGCATTCGCTCCGGCCCGGCGAGCAGCTCCTGCCGGGCGTCTCTTACGTGGACGGGCTGGCTTGCGTCGAGCTCGCCGCTGCCCACCTCGGGCTCCATAGGGCATTGGAGTGGGGGACGCATTGCTTCAGGCGCGGCCGGGCCGACCAGGCATGGGCTCCCCTTGCCGTCCCCTGCCTACCCAGGGCCCGCGCGCAGTTCGTGTCTCTCGCACACAGGCACTCCGCACCGGGGGGCCGGCAGCGCCGTTCTTCGAAGGGGGTTGGAGATCTGTGGCCGCGTTCGGGCACTCCATTCCGACAGGGGGCACGGCCGCGCTGCCTGGGTCGCGAGGGCGCGGCGCTTGGCGGCGCACAGGTACCCGGCCGCAAAGACGCGAGCCATGGTGCTGGCGGCAGAAGCCGAGATCGCGCACTCCGATTCCGACGAGGCGCCGCCCTGCAGGCATCGGGGTCGGGGCTCCGCGGCGGCGCGTGGCGCGCTGGACGCGCCGATCGCCGCGGAAGCGGTGCAGGGGCCGCCCAGGCCGTGAGTCAAGCAGACCAGGCATCTGCGGTCTGCTTAGAGCGCGCTTGGGCGTCGTTCCGCCGAGCAAGCATCGGGAGGCGTCGGCGAGGTTGCTCGGCTCCGCGACGCCGACTCGCGCTCACCCCACCGCCTGGCCTGGGCCTGCGCCAGTCGACGGTTGTGCCCTGCGTTAGCGCGGGCCCAGCCTCGAAGCGACTTCTCATGGGCGCTCTGGGCAGCATTTGAGCGCGGGGAGAAGTCGCGCGAGCGTTGTGGCCCCTATTGGCTATCTTCTTGCTTGTCTCTAATGCTGCGGGACGGCTATTCACGGCTGAGGCGGATCCCCACCCTGCGCGCCCGCGAGCGCGTTCTCGTGGCAGGTGAATGGGATTTGTCTCACGCGTGGCCGTCCCGCTGGCGGGATGCGTTTTTCCCCACCCGCCCGACCCTGCTGCGCGAGCGCACTGGCGTCGCAGTGGCTGCTAGTTGTGTCGAGGCTGGGCTGGCCCAGCGCCAGGCTTGGGGGAGGCGTCGGCGAGGTTGCTCGGCTCCGCGACGCCGACTCGCGCTCGCCCCACCGCCTGGCCTGGGCCTGCGCCAGTCGACGGTTGTGCCCTGCGTTAGCGCGGGCCCAGCCTCGACGCGACTTCTCATCACATCACCACTGTCCCCACACCACTGTCCCCATCACCAGCGCCCCCACCACTGTCCCACTGTCCCCACTGTTCCCACCATTGTCCTCGCTGCCCCCACCAGTGTCTCACTGCCCCCGCTCTCCCCACAATTGTCCCACCACGGTCCCACTCTCCCCACTTTCCCCACGGTCCCCACCACTGTCCCACTGTCCCTACTGTTCCCACCACTGTCCAACTGTCCCCGCCGCTGTCCCACTGTGTTGTCCCACCGCCCCCACTGTCCCCATCACTGTCCCACTGTCCCCACTGTCCCCTTCACTTTCCCCACTGCACTACTGTCCCACCACTGTCCTCACCACCGCATTCACTACTGTCCCCACCATTACCGTCCCCACCATTGCTCCACTGTCCCCACCACTGTCCCGCTGTCCCCTCACCACTGTCCCCACCACCGGGGAAGGGTTCGAACCGGTAGTGACCCTCCCCGGTTTTCGAGGGGGGGGGGTTCGAACCAGTAGTGACCCCCCCCCGGTTTTCGATTTTCGAGGGGGGGGGGTTCGAACCGGTAGTGACCCCCCCCCCGTTTTCATGATGGACTGGGGAAGGGGGGGGTTCGAACCGGTAGTGATCCCCCCCCGGTTTTCCGAGGAGTTAGGAACTCCCAGTGACCCCCCCTCCTCAGTTTTCCGCCAGCAGCGGTAGAACACGCTCTTTCTCATCGCCGCGCCGTGCTCGACGCCGCCCTCCCGGTTCTCGAGGACGTCGGTCACCTCCGCCCAACCATCAACGACATCGTAGCTTCCGGGCTCGTTGACGAGCTCCTTGTTGCACTGGTCCTTGCGTTGTGGCATTCGAAAAAATCGGTGGCGTAGGATCCGTGAGAACCACTTGCTGATTGTGATCAGCTCGGTAGAGCTGGGGAGGCACCTTCCACTCTGCTCTGCAAGTGGCGCCCCCTCCATGGCCATCCGCATTGGCGGTATCTCGCGGAACAGTTGCGCACCCGCTGGCGCTCCCGCCCACCTGCGCCATTGGAGGGACTGGTACGCTTGATCTCGAGGGTGGCCACAAGGAAGCGATCAGCGTCGACTGAGGCCTCCCATTCTGGGTGATCGGCCTCTGGCACGTAAAAGAGGGCTCCAAGAGGCGATTTGAGAGCTCTGTCCTCGTCCTCGTTGTCCTCCTCCTCCTCCTCCTCCTCCTCCTCCTTGCCCTCATCGTCTTCCTTGTCCTTTCCTCTTCCTCGTCGTCGTTGGATTCCTCCTCCTCCTCCTCCTTCCCTCGCCCCCACGCGGGCCCCATGGATGCCCCGGAGAGGCACTTCAAGGCCATCCCCTTGCTCCCAGAGATCCCTCTGTTCATCCGGTGGCCCGCTTTGTTTCAACATGTGTCTCACACGTCCATTTTCTGTCAACTCTCATGGGCAGGGTTTCCGAATGGGCTGATGGGGATGCGCGAAGCGTGAAGAATAACACATGCTGTCATACTGCGATCTCGTATTATGTTAGTTGTTCGTAGATGTTGTGATGTGTTCTGCCACACTGTACTAAAGTACGCAATGATCGGCCATGCTTGTCTATGCGAAGCAACGAATGCTACGACACGCTATGCAGTGTTATCCAAACCTGCACACTACTGAGACGTCATGACATGTTAAGCGGTGTTATGCTACGCAGTGCTATGCTGTGATATGATGGAGACTGTATGCCACCTCGTTGGATGTCACCCCATTGCGACGCATTGCACATGTACGCCTTCGATAAGATACCCCTTGACTGGGGTCGCGACAGGGTATTATCTTGACCAATCTGCAGATGCATTGATCTGACCAGTCCCTCCTGTGACAAGACCGCACGTGGGCAAAAACGGCCACTACAGAAAGCAGCAACGCCCAAGTGCACCCAAACATTCAGGTCCAGGAATCGGAACGTAGGAGAAGCATCAAGTACAAAGAGGGCGCGCCGCTGGACGACCCCAGGGGGGGGGGGGGGGACACTCCCCCCCTATCCCCGATCAGTCGGGGGAACGCCCTGCCCCCTCCCACCCCCCTTTCCCAGATCCGTCGTCGGGGACACCCCCCTCCCCCCATTTCAATCCGTCTCCGGGGACCCACCCCCCCTCCCGCCACTTTCAAAGTTGGTGAGGGGGTCCCGACCCCCACCCCCTCCCACCCCTTGGCCTCCAATTCGCCCCCGCCCCCCTCCCCTCCTTTCGCCAAGGCCCCGACCCCTACCACCCCGAACACTAATCCTCAACCTTGCCATAACCCCGAACCCTAACCCCAAACCCTAGCCCCAAACGGTACTCACTACCCACTACGCACCACCCACTACCCACAATTCACTCCTCGCAACTCACTACTCACTACCCACTTCCCACTACTCACTACCCACGACTCACTACTCACTACCCACGACGCACTACTCACTACTTCCTACTCCCTGCCCCCTACCTGCAACTCGCTATAAGCTGCTCACTACTCACTACCCACTACTCAATATCCACTATCCATTAAACGCCACTCACTACCCACTACTGGCTAATCACAAACCACTACTCACTACCCACTAAGCACTATCCAATACTCACTACCCACACTCCACTACTCAGTGCTCGCTGCCCACAGCTCACTACTCACTATCCACTACTCGGTACTCGCTACCCCCTACACAGTCCTCACTACTCACGACCCGCTACTCGCTACTCCCTGCGCCCTACTCGCTACCCGATACGCACGATTCACTACCCACTCCTCGCTCCTCACTTCGCTCCCACTACCCGCGACTCACTACTTCCTACTCCCTACTCGCTACTCCCAACACGCTGTTCACTACACCACCCAGTACTCAATACTCACTACTCACTAAACACTACTCACTGCCCATTGCTCAGTACTCACTAAGCACTACTCGCTACCCACTAACCAATATCCACTACTTACTACTGGGAACTCACAACACACTACTCACTACGCACCGCCCAGAACTCACTACTCACTACCCGCTACTCGCTACCCAATCGGACATATTCATTACACACTACGCACCGACCGCTACTCACTACTCCCTACCCCCTACCCACTAGTCACAAGTCGCAAGTCGCTACTCACTACCCACGACTCACTATTCACTCCTCGCAGCTTTCTACTCGCTACTCCCTATTCACTACCGACTATTCAACACCCACTTCTCGCTTCTCACTACTCACTATTCACTACTCCCTACTCACTACTCACAACTCACTACTCAATACTCGCTATTCCCTGCTCTCTACGACTACCCCATACTCGCTACTCACTACTGATTCCTCACTACTCCCTCCTCACTACTCACTACTCACAACGCCGTACTCGCTACCAGTTACCCACTACTCGCTACTCCCTACTCGCTACTCGCTACTCACCGCTCACTGCTCTCTACTCACAGCGCGCTACTCACTACTCACTACTCACTACACATTCCTCCCTATTCACTACTGTCTACTCCTTCATCTCTACTCCATGCTTAGTACTCACTACACATTACTCACTCCTCACTACTCACTACCCACTACTCACTACCCACTAATTTCTACGCGCTACTCACTACTACCACTACGCATTACCCACTACTCACTACTCACCACCCACGACTCACTGCGCACTACTCACTATCAAATACCCACCACGCACCAATCGCTACTCAAAACACTCTACTCTCTACTCACTACCCGAGAGGCCCCCCCCCAGACCCCTGTTCGGCGCAAAGGGGGGGAGGGGGGGGGTCGAACCCCCCTATTGATCAATCTGCAGATGCATCACTCAGACCAGTCTCTCCCATGACAAGACCGCACGTGGGCAAAGACGGACACTACAGAAAGCGGCCGCTCCGCCCAAGTGCACCCAGACATTCAGGTCCAGGAGTCGGAACGCAGGATAATAACTAAGTACACATACTACTGCGCCGTGAACATTGGGTACAGCCAGCATGCTCAAACAAAACTGAAGTTGCAGAACACACTCTCGACACTGCCTGAGCTGGCACAACGCACAATCAAAATTCGCTTCGTCACTCAGGCGATCCATATGCCCCACTTACTCTGCACAAGAGCGTCGTGAACCATGTGCACCACCCGTCTCTAGTGCGGCAGCAAATCTTGGTCAGACCCAAATACACAGCAACACTCCCCTCAGTAGCAGCCAGTGTTGTTGTACCTGCACGGCTGGTCCTCGAAGCAGCACAGGCCGGGGCAGCTGGAGCCGTAGACGATGGGCAGGCCCGTGTTGATGCCCAGCACTGCCATGCACTCGGCGTCGTTTTTGGGCGTCGTCCTCACCTTCTGCTGCGCCAAAGCTGCGGAATAGCAGCCCGTGTTGTTGTACCTGCACAGCTGGTCCTCGAAGCAGCACACGCCGGGGCAACTGGAGTCGTAGACGATGGGCAGGTCCGTGTGAATGCCCGGCACGGCCTTGCATTCGACGTCGTTCGTGGGCGTCGTCCTCACCTTCTGCTGCGCCAAGGCTGCGGAGTAGCAACCCGTATTGTTATACCTGCACGGCAGGTCCTCGAAACAGCACAGGCCGGGGCAGCTGGAGTCGTAGACGATGGGCAGGCCCGTGTTGATGCCCAGCACTGCCATGCACTCGGCGTCGTTTTTGGGCGTCGTCCTCACCTTCTGCTGCGTCAAGGCTGCAGAATAGCAGCCCGTGTTGTTGTACCTGCACAGCTGGTCCTCGAAGCAGCACACGCCGGGGCAACTGGAGTCGTAGACGATGGGCAGGTCCGTGTGAATGCCCGGCACGGCCTTGCACTCGGCGTCGTTCGTGGGCGTCGTCCTCACCTTCTGCTGCGCCAAGGCTGCGGAGTAGCAGCCCGTGTTGTTGTACCTGCACGGCTGGTCCTCGAAGCAGCACAGGCCGGGGCAGCTGGAATCGTAGACGATGGGCAAGCCCGTGTTGATGCCCGGCACGGCCTTGCACTCGGCGTCGTCCTCACCTTCTGCTGCGCCAAGGCTGCGGAGTAGCAACCCGTATTGTTATACCTGCACGGCTGGTCCTCGAAGCAGCACAGGCCGGGGCAGCTGGAATCGTAGACGATGGGCAGGCCCGTGTTGATGCCCGGCACGGCCATGCACTCGGCGTCGTTCTTGGTCGTCGTCCTCACCTTCTGCTGCGCCAAGGCTGCGGAGTAGCAGCCCGTGTTGTTGTACCTGCACGGCTGGTCCTCGAAGCAGCACAGGCCGGGGCAGCTGGAATCGTAGACGATGGGCAGGCCCGTGTTGATGCCCGGCACGGCCTTGCACTCGGCGTCGTTCGTGGGCGTCGCCCTCACCTTCTGCTGCGCCAAGGCTGCGGAATAGCAGCCCGTGTTGTTGTACCTGCACGGCTGGTCCTCGAAGCAGCACAGGCTGGGGCAGCTGGAGTCGTAGACGATGGGCAGACCCGTGTTGATGCCCAGCACGGTCTTGCACTCGGCGTCGTTCTTGGTCGTCGTCCTCACCTTCTGCTGCGCCAAAGCTGCAGAGTAGCAGCCAGTGTTGTTGTACCTGAACGGCTGGTCCTCGAAGCAGCACAAGCCGGGGCAGCTGAAGTCGTAGACGATGGGCAGTCCCGAATTTATGCCCAGCACGGCCCTGCACTCGGCGTCGTTCGTGGGCGTCGTCCTTACCTTCTGCTGCGCCAAAGCTGCGGAGTAGCAGCCCGTGTTGTTGTACCTGCACGGCTGGTCCTCGAAGCAGCACAGGCTGGGGCAGCTGGAGTCGTAGACGATGGGCAGGCCCGTGTTGATGCCCAGCACGGCCTTGCACTCGGCTTCGTCCTCACCTTCTGCTGCGCCAAGGCTGCGGATAGCAGCCCGTCTTGTTGTACCTTCACGTCTGGTCCTCGAAGCAGCACAGGCCGGGGCAGCTGGAGGCGTCGACGATGGGCAGACCCGTGTTGATGCCTGGCACGGCCTTGCACTCGGCGTCGTTCGTGGGCGTCGTCCTCACCTTCTGCTGCGCCAAGGCTGCGGAGTAGCAGCCCGTGTTGTTGTACCTTCGGGGGCGGCCAAGAGGGGGGCGTCCAAGAGGGGGGGGCGCAAACCGTGGCTGGCGGCATGTGCGCGGCCCAGAGGGGGGCCAGGGACGCATTGAAATAAGAAGAGGCAGCATGAAATCTCAGGAGATCACATGGCCCCGGCCATGAGATCCCCCCCTACTCCTCACCCCCCTCTTGACCGCCCCTGATACCTGCACGGCTGGTCCTTGAAGCAACACGGGCCGGGGCAGCTGGAGTCGTAGACGATGGGCAGGCTCGTGTTGATGCCTGGCACGGCCTTGCACTCGACGTCGTTCGTGGGCGTCGTCCTCACCTTCTGCTGCGACAAAGCTGCGGAGTAGCACCCCGTGTTGTTGTACCTACACGGCCGGTCCTCGAAGCAGCACAGGCCGGGGCAGCTGGAGTCGTAGACGATGGGCAGGCCCGTGTTGATGCCCGGCACGGCCTTGCACTCGGCGTCGTTCGTGGGCGTCGTCCTCACCTTCTGCTGCGCCAAAGCTGCGGAGTAGCAGCCCGTGTTGTTGTATCTACACGGCTGGACCTCGAAGCAACACAGGCCGGGGCAGCTGGAGTCGTAGACGATGGGCAGGCCCGTGTTGATGCCTGGCACGGCCTTGCACTCGGCGTCGTTCGTGGGCGTCGTCCTCACCTTCTGCTGCGCCAAGGCTGCGGAGTAGCAGCACGTATTGTTGTACCTGCACGGCTGGTCCTCGAAGCAGCACAGGCCAGGGACAACTGGAGTCGTAGACGATGGGAAGGCCCGTGTTGATGCCTGGCACGGCCTTGCACTCGGCGTCGTTCGTGGGCGTCGTCCTCACGCTCAGTTGCTCATGCCGATTCACCTGCATCATCTGCAAGCTCTTCTGGAGCATGCCAGTGTCATCCTGCTCTCCCTGCCGGGCCCGACGCGTGCGCGAGTGCCGGAAGCGAGGCCGCGGCGATGAGGAGCGCCATCGGCTGCAAACTGTAGTCTGTCTCGCTTCTATATGGGCCAATATGGCTACGGATGCTGCGCCGTGGACATCCTCGTCCTCCTCGTCCTCCTCGTCCTCCTCGTCCTCGTCCTCCTCGTCCTCCTCGTCCTCTTCGTCCTCCTCGTCCTCCTCGTCCTCCTCGTCCCGCTCGTCCTCCTCGTCCTGCTCGTCCTCCTCGTCCTCCTCGTCATCCTCGTCCTGCTCGTCCTCCTCCTCTTCCTCCTCATCCTCCTCCTCCACCTCCTCGTCCTTCTCCTCGTCCTCCTCGTCCTCCTCGTCCTCGTCCTCTTCGTCCTCCTCGTCCTCGTCCTCCTCGTCATCCTCGTCCTCTTCCTCGTCCTCCTCCCTCTCGTCCTCGGCCTTCTCGTCCTCTTCCTCTTCCTCCTCTTCCTCGTCCTCCTCGTACTCCTCGTCCTCCTCGTCCTCCTCGCCATCCTCGTCCTCCTCGTCATCCTCGTCATCCTTCCCTCCCACTCCTCCTCCTCCTCATCCTCCTCCTTCTCCTCCTCCTCCTCCTCGTCCTCCTCCTCCTCGTCCTCCTCGTCGTCCTCGTCCTCGTCCTCCTCCTCCTTCTCCTCCTCCTCCTCCTCCTCCTCCTCCTTCTCTTCCTCCTCCTCACCCTCTTCCTCTTCTCTTCCTTGCCCTTCTCACCATCCTTCTACTCCCATCGCGCCCATCATCCTCCGCTTTGGCGTCCGGGGAGGGGCGAAAGGCGGCGGCGGCGGCGCCCGTTTGACGTTGCTCGGGTCGAGGTATTCCCAGCATTCCTCCCGGAGGGTGGGGGGGGCGTCTCGGCGCTTCATGAGGGGGAGGACAGACGTGGGCGTCCGTAGGAGGCCCTTGGATGCCTTCCAAGGCCGACGAATCCAGAAACTCGCGGTCTGGTGTTTTCAACGCGTGGTTCTCGGAAGTCTCCACCCCTTCCCGGGGGCTCGCTATCGTCGAGAGAGCGTGATCCACCGCCGCTTTACTGTGGAAAATTGCCAACCTTTTCCTCCGGAACCCGGTCTCCCCCCCCCCCCTCCGACAAAATCCCCCCCCCCCCCCTAGCGGAACCCCTCCCCCCGGCCAAAGAAACCCCCGCCCCCGTCCCCTAACCGCCCCCCCCCCCCCCGCCCACGCTCCCTCTCGAACCGGGGGTGGTTCCTACCACGGTTTCGAACCCCTCCCCCCCCCCCCCCCTACCCTCCGGATCCGGAAAACTGGAGGGGGCCACTACCGGTTCGCACCCCCCCTTCCCCTTTCCCCCCCCCCCCTACTCACCGCCAGCAAACGACTCCCGGTCCCCACCACCGTCCGCATCACATCCCCCACTGGTGTTCCCAGCACCACTGTCCTCACCACCGCAGTCCCCACTGTCCCCACCAGTGGCCCCACCACTGTCGCACTGTCCCCGCTGTCCCCAGAACTGTTCCCACCACGGTTCCACTCTCCCCACTGTCTCCACGGCCCCAACCACTGCCCGACTATCCCCACTGTCCCCACTGTCCCACTGAGGCTGTCCCACTGTCCACCACTGTCCCCACCACTGTCCCCACCACTGTCCCCACTGTACCTCTGTCCCATTGTCCCACCGCCGTCCTCGCCACCGCCTTCACCACTGTCCCCACCACCATTGTACCCTCCACTGTCCCACTGTTTCCACCTCATTCCCACTGTCCCCCACCACCCCACCACCACCGTCCCCACCACTGTCCACTGTCCCCACCTGTCCCCACCACTGTCCCACCATACTGTCCCACCACTGTTCCCCACCACTGTCCCCACCACTACCGTCCCCACCACCACTGTCCCACTGTCCCCACCACTGTCCCTCACCACTGTCCCGTCCCACTGTCCCCACTCACCTGTCTGTCCCTGTCCCCTCAACCACGTCCCCACCACCTGTCCGCCCCACCACTGTCCGCACACTCCCCCTCGTTTGGTCGAGGGTGGGGGGGGAGTGAACCGGTTAGTGAACCCGCCTTTTTATTTCGGCGGGGGGGGGGGGGGGGGGGGGGGAGGGTTTCGAACCGGTATGACCCCCCCCCCCGCCCGTGGCTCCGGTACCGTACCGCGGTTCGAACCGGAGTAATGAGCCGGAGTCCGAGTGAGAGTACCAGCGCGACGACGATACGACGACGACGACACGACACTGTACGGTCCGGCGGTGGCGACGGAACGTTCGGACGCAACGACCTGGATAGCGGCCGTGGATGCCCTTAACCCCCCACAGATGCGTCGCATCCTGTTTGCGGCGTCCGTGGAGCCTAAAGAAACCGAGTATGAATGCCTACAGATGATATAGTGGTGAATATTAACAATGGGGTAATATCGGCCAAGGATACGCACATATGCCTTTGAAGAATGATGCCCGAATGTCCTTCAGCGAGCAGAATGCAATCCAGTGGCTGCGCTTTATCGGCCGCGGGCGGCCGCGAGAACCAAATCAGGGACGCTGTATGAGGGCCGGAAAGCGAGGACCGAGTGAGGAGAAGGGAAAGGGCGAGGAAGGGAGACGAGGGAAAGGACGACCGGGCTTGGGGACGAGGGACGGGTCTTGGAGAGAGGCAGCCAGACAGGGAGGAGAGAGCTTGGGACCCACGCACACCTTGGGGAGGACACACAGGGCGAGAGGGGAGGCACTGAGTAGGGGGGGGGATGGAGGGAAGCAAGACCCCTCGGCAGGGCAGGCAGGAGGACCACAGGGACGGGGCGAGACGGGGCACGGGCCCACACTGGCAAGCAGGGGGGCCACGGCGGTCCGAAGAGAGCAGACTCGGGGTGGAGTGGCGGCTCTGCGTCGTGGCAGTGCCACGGGGTCGTGATGGGGGTCGGGCTGACGACCGCGATCGAGGCCGTGATCGGCGGAGACGCCGCGAGCCATCATCGAGCAGCGAGTCAGACGGACACCGACAGCGCCTCGAGAAGGCGCAGAGGTGCCTCCTGAGGCACAGCGACAAGTGCCGCAAGTTCGCGACGGTGGAATCGGCCAGAGGAGGAGGAGGGCCCTCGGCGCCAGGGTGAGATCCGGGCCAAAGCTGTGGGGTCAAGCCTCGGGCGTACATTCACAGCCACAGGGGCGGCCCGGCCAGGCAGTCAGTCCACTTCCACCGCCGGGGCGCATCGGCAGGCGTCGCTGGGAGGCCCCGGTTTTGCTGGAAGGGCCAGACAATCGGGGGCATTCGCAAGCCTCCCCCTCCGCCTCACCTCCCAGCAGCAGGTCAAGCTCGGCAATCAGAGCCTCTCTGCTTGCCGTCAACCCCCAGTTCCGCTGCCGGATTCATGTCACCATTGAACGAAGTGGGCCTGCCCCGTCACAGAAACCCTGAAGTGGCGGTCTCTCCAGGGGCTTGGAAGTCCGAGCGCATGTATAATAGGTTTGTCAGGAAGAAGACCGGTCGGGCTCTCCGGGACCTTGTCTGCTGGGGCCTCCCCTCTTCTTCTGTTGGGAGGCGTGCCTCGTCCCGCACAGACCAGCTTCCCCTCTCACGCCCGCTGACCTTCAGTCAGACTTCCACACCGAGACCGCAAGCGATTGTGCGGACCGTTGGTCACCGAACTGGAACAGAGGGCATCGCCGCCGAAGCTTCCACGTGCGCCCCACATAGGCGAACACCTGGATCCTGCACGCTGTCGCAGTACTGGCCAACCACCATCTTGGTAGACGGGCTCTACGGTCCGCTCAGTTGCTGGGGCGGGGTGCCACGCCCCAGAACGCATAGCTGCTGGGGGAGGGTGGGCCGCTAAGAAGCGTGGAGGAGCTGCGCCCCCAGGTCCTGCAGGAAGAGTTGAGTACCACCGCCCTTTTCACTTTTGACTTTGCCAAGATGGCAGCGGCTCTGGCGTATTTTCCGGCTTGCCCCGAGAGCTGCGTCCCGATGAAGTGGCCGCCGTGTGGAGGGTGAAGAAGCGTCAATGGAACGCACTGGAGGGACCGGCGGCAGAGACCCAGTACGTTCGACCGCGGGGGCTCGGCCCCTCTGAGCGACACGAGGCCGCCCACGCTTGATTTCCCTGTGAGAAGCTGTGGCATTGCATTCACTCGCGGTCTCCACATCTCGCACACGCACGCCAGAGCACTTCTTTGGGTAGGGCGCGTCTGTGTGTGTGTGGTGCGTGCGTGTGTGCTGGTGTCGCGTGGTGTGCGTGTGTGTGTGTGAATGTCGTGTGTGTGTGTGTGTGCGTGTGTGTGTGTGTGCGTGTGTGTGTGTGTGTGTGTGTGTTCGTGTGTGAGTGTGAGGTGCGTGTGTGTGTGTGGTGCGTGTCACGCACGTTTCACACACGCACCACACTCTCACACACCACACACATACACGCCACACACTCACACACATGCACCACACACTCACACACACACACACGCACCACACACTCACACACACACACGCACACGCACACACACAGCACACACACTCACCAACCGCACACACACACAACGCACCACACACTCACACACACACACACCGCACACACTTAACACGACGAACACATTCGCACACACACACACACACGCGCACCAGACACTCACACACGCACCCACACAAGCACAGACGCACGCACGCACGCACACCACACACACACACACGCACCACACGCATATAAACACACACACACACCACACACTCATACACCACACACACACACACGCACGCACACACGCACAACACACTCACACACACACACGCTCACACATACACACGCACACACCACGCCCACACACATACACACTCGCACACCCACACACATACACACCACGCACCACACACTTACACACCATATACACACATGCGCACATACACACACTCATACACCACACACGCACACACACACACACACACGCACCACACAACACACACACACACACACACGCACACACACACTCCCCTCCCCCACCCCCCACCGTCCCCCCATTCCCGACCCCCCCCCCGCACCCAACCCCACACCCGCAGCACCCCCGCCCCCCAGCCACACCCTCATGCACTCACACTCGCGCACACACACACACGCACACATGCGCACACCTGTCGCCCCTCTGCCTCCGGTGATACAAAACACGGTCGCGCCGCATGCTAAGCGGGAGACGCGGCACGAAGTGCATCCGCACGTGTGACGAATCACACGCACAAGCAATCACACACAAACATAGACAAAGAATCACAAACGCACACACACGCACGACAATTCTGTTATAGGATCTCTGGGCATGGAAAAAGCAATTCGCACGCGGAGTCCCATATAGGATGTATGCCGAAACTCGCTCCAGAACGGCCCAATACCGCCCCAATACCGCCACAGAAAAACACAGAGAAGCCGTCGAGACGGCCGGGCAATCCTCCAAGAAGCCTCAAGATTACACAGCGACGCTCCAAGAGTGCTTCAAAGTGCCCGCAAGACCCGCTCATATGGCCCCAAGTTGGGTCAACCGAACCGCTTCGGGAACGCCTGGCATAAGCATCGCATCCAAGACGGCCCCCCGACCCCCAGAAGGCCGAGACTCAAAGAGGCCACCAAGGAAGCCCTCAAGTTGTTTCCACACGTACCAAAAGAAGCACAAACACAATGCAACGTGATGGTCCACAACATCGTGGCACTGCTTCATATACTGCCATATGGCTGTGCCGAACCTTTCGGAATAATCCAGCAACACCGCCTAGCATGCATTTCGATGCTGCGACGGCACGGTGGCGGGGTTTGCTATGGGCAACTTGGTAAGCCTGTGGATGGCAGTTGCAATGACGGCATTAGCGGTAGAAAGCGCACACAACTACAAGTACAGGCCCTACGAAGCGCCCACAAGAGCTTCCAAATGGGTCCAATAGGTACCGATAAGCCTTGAATAATCTCTAAAATCCAAGAGCCAACGTTTCGGTCACGCCATGCTGCGGCATCGTGACGCTGCTTCCTATTGACCCAATATTGCTTTATCGATCCCTTCGTGGGAAAAAGCTCGGAACAACCATCCAGCATGCATGTCGATGCTGCTGTGGCACTGTGGCGTCATTGCTGCAAGCTGCTGGATAAGTCTGCGGATGGCAGCCGTTTCACTGGCAACCGCGGTAAATGCGGAGACGATTACGAAAGTGCGGCACGACCCCCGAAAGAGCCCCAGAGGCCCTGAGAAGCTCTTCGTAGTTTCCAACAGAACATAGCAACCAGCGCAACAACCATGCAACATTACGGCCACGCCTCGTAGAGTCGTGAAGCTGCTGCCTCTGTCACCCCTGAATAGCTGTACTGGTCACTTCGGGGGAGGACTCGGCAGAACCATCCCGCATGCATTTCGATGCTGTGCTGGCATGGTGGCGGACTTGCCACAAGCAATCAGATACATCAGCGGATGGCAGTCGTGATAATGGCGGCCTCGCTGAAAACATATACATGTCTAGATGCACTGCGCATGGGTGTGCCTCTCAGCTTTGGTGTACATTTTGGGCAGGGGGGTCAGAACCGTCCGAGTTCTACGCCCCCGTGGCCTCAACAGCCTTACGAAACCGACATGGACACCACGGCCCTTGTGATCCTCATGAGCCCCCCGAATCACACGAGCTCTCTAAGATCTACAACCTCCATGCCAGTCACGCGCCTTCTAAAATGGTGGAGCCCCACCAAGTCCCCGAGCCCGTCATTGTCCCCGCGCGCGGCCAGTCTACACCATTTGACTTTGACTTGATCGGCGAAGCGCAGCGAGCATTGTCAACATTATGTATGTTGGTGTGTATGCGCGCTGGCCCGATCTGCTGTTTTCTCTCGCGTGAGACCTTTGCGATTCACACCACGATAGTTTCAAATACTGTGGATCAGAGTTGCACGACGAGGTAGACATCGAAGGAAAACTGCCCTCCCCTGCACCATCTTGGGTGGCATGGCTGGTGGGAGGTGTAGGATGAGGCATGCACAGGTCGAGGAGGACGGTGGGTGGGCGAGGAGGAGGCATGCACAGGTCGAGGCAGACAGGGCGCGGGCGGAGGCGGAGCCCAGCACAAGGCCCCGCGGGCCTGCGCGAGCCCGCCGCGCCGAGCGCAGTCCGCGAGCACTCACTCCTCCAGGAAGGGCCCGGGGAGGCACAACATTTATGTCGGGCGTGTCCCCCCACAGGGGGATTTTCGACGAAAAAAAAAATACCCCCAAAATAGTCCAAAAAGGTCAAAGGATACTCAAAAAATAGTCCCCAGGCTATTTTTGGAGTATTTGTTGATTATTTCTGGGTATTTTTGATTTTTCGTCGAAAATCCCGCTGTAGGGGGACAGGCCCGACTTAACACAACATCCAGGATTCCCCATCCTGTCCAGATTCCCCAACGCAATGCTTGCACTCATGGGTCCTTGCTTCTGTTCTGAGGAACTGGACCGTGTCTTTGGCAACTGGCGGCCATGTGGCCGACGTCGCCGCCCCGTCGCCGCCTCGTCGCCGCCCGTCGTCTGGGCTGAGCCTTCGGTCTGGCAGCCATGTGGCCGCCGTCGCCGCCCCGTCGCCGCCTCGCCGACGCTTCGCCGCCGCCCGTCGCCGCCGTTGGATGGCAACACGTCGATGGCACCAACCAAATTGATGTCTGCGGCACTCTGGTCGCTCACAGCATAGATTCTCCTTTCCAGAAAAAATGATACCGGAGAAAAGCCACAATCCAACTCTTGTTAGGGCTATGGGGCTATGGGGCTATTGGGCTATAGGGCGATGGGGCTACAGGGCTATAGGGCTATGGAGCTATAGGGCCATAGGGCTATCAGACTGTAGGACTATAGGGTTATAGGGCTGTAGGGCCATAGGACTATGGGGCTATGGGGGTAGGGCTGTAGGACAATGGGGCTCTGAGTCTATGGGGCTATGGGGCTGTAGGACCATAGGGCTGTAGTGCTATAGGGATATAAGGCTATGAGGCTATAGGCATACATGGGCGTGATTAAAGTTTTGCCCTTTTTTAGCATAGCCGAAGTAATGGCTATCCCCTTCTTTCGAACCGAGTAGGAACCGTGAGAACAAGAATTTGTGTGAGGATGTCCCACGCGGTTTGCCGTTTTCGAACCGCCATCCCCTTCTTTCGAACCGAGGTCGAACCATCAGGACAGCAGATTTTGTGAGGATGTCCCGCGCGGTTTGCCGTTTTCGAACCGCCATCCTTTTGTTTCGAACTGGGTCCAACGCCGCATTTTGAGGGAAGCCCCACGCGAAACGCTCATTCTGCTTTTGTTTCGAACCGCATTCTATTGTTTCGAACCGAGTTCGAACCGTCTTGAGAGCCAATTTTGTGAGGATGTCCCACGCGGTTTGCCGTTTTCGAACCGCCATCCCGTTTGGCGTAATAAAATTTTAATTTAAGGAACCAAATCCAGGTTCGAACCGCGCCCCGACAGCCCAGGTTCGAACTCCGCCCCGAAAGCGAGGCACCTCCCCGTAACATTGTACCAGGCTCCACGTCCCTAACGGGGTGACTAGCGACGTGCGCTCACATTGCGGACGCAGGGTGAACTTTTGCCGACCCGTCAAAATGGGGCAACCTGTCATCACGGCACAGACGTGCGCTCGCACTGCGGGCGCAGGATGCACTTCTGCCGACCCGTCAAAATGGGGCAATATGTCATCGCGGCACAGACGTGCGCTCGCATTGCGGACGAAGGATGCACTTCTTCCGACCCGTCAAAATGGGGCAATCTTTCATCACGGCACAGTATAGAGCTATAGGGCCATATGGATATAAGGCTATAGGGCTATGGGGCTATAGGGCTATAGGGATATGGGGCTATAGGGCTATAGGGCCTATAGGGCTATAGGGCACCCGGGCGGACCGCGGAAATCGGCGGCAAAACTCACCTTATCACATGAGTCCGCTAAGCTATGATTGGGGACAAATCGACCCCCCCCGGAATAAACGGGACTCCTTTTCGCGTATTGCAATTGTGAAAACGGTTGAGTCAGATATGGGTTCCCCCCTCTCCCCCCCACCCACAACCTCCTGATCACCCGAACGGTGGTCGTGTATATATATATATGTGTATACGTATCTTCCACAGCATAGATAGCACCACACATATGTATCACTATTGCTAGAATCACACTGCTTGGGATCCACGCTGGCTAACATTTCCTGGTTTCTCCTTTTCCCCTCCATTGCCAATGTTTTTCGCAATGTGCTTAGACATCGACGTTTATTTGTGCCTGCGTCTACTTTTCCCCTCTGATCCTCCCACCTCTTGAAGATCACGCAGCTGTTGTGGCCGCCGAAGCCGAAACTGTTGTTCGCGGCGACCTTCAGGTCCGGTATCTCCAGGGCCTCCGTGGGCGCGTTGAGGTCGAACCCGTCCTCACGGTCCTCGAGGTTCAGGGTCGGGTGCACCCTGCGATGCCGCAGCGCCTGCACGCAGACGACGGCCTCGATCCCGGCGGCGGCCCCGAGGCAGTGGCCCACCATGGACTTGGTGCTGTTGACTACCAGGCGGTCGGTGCTGCCCAGCGCCCTCTTGATGGCGCGGACCTCCGCCATGTCCCCTGCGGGGGTGGAGGTGCCGTGGCAGTTCATGTAGCCCACCTCGCCCGCCTCGACGCCGGCGTTCGCCAGCGCGCTCTGGATGCAGCGCGACACGCCTGCGCCCTGCGGGTGCGGCTCTGTCATGTGGTGCGCGTCGGAGGTGTACGCGCCGCCCGCGTACTCGGCGTAGATCTCCGCGCCGCGCGCCTGCGCGTGCTCCAAGGACTCCAAGCACAGGACGCCGGCACCCTCGCCCATGACGAAACCGTCGCGGCCCTTGTCCCAAGGGCGGGAAGCCCTCTCTGGCTCGTCGTTGCGCGAGGACAGAGCCTTGCAAGCATTGAACCCTGCGATGCCCGCGCGCGTTACGGCAGCCTCGGCGCCCCCGGCGAGGATCAAGTCGCACTCCCCGCGCTGGATGTGGCCGGCGGCCGCGGAGATGCAATAGTTGCCTGTCGCGCAGGCCGTGACTACAGCGTAGTTGGGGCCCGTAAAGCCAACGTCGATCGAGAGCAAACCGCCTGGCACATTTACGAGAGTATATGGAACGAAGAAGGGCGACAGCTTCTTGCCCTGGAACAGCTTGTCCATGTTATCCATGGAAGTCTGCAGAGACGAGCCACCCATGGCCGACCCGATCAGGATGCCACACCGCTCTTTGTCCAAGGCTGCGAAGCCGTCGGATTCTCGCCCCAAGCCAGCGTCCACAAGCGCCTGGTTGCCGGACACTATCGTGTACTTTACGACATCGTCCATGCGCCTGGCGTTCTTGGCGTCGATAAAACCCCCGACCGAGAAATCGTCTATCTGCGCGGCGATCTGCGTCACCAGCCCCTCCGGGTCAAACTTGGTGATCCTCTTCACCGCAGAGGTCCCGGCGCACAGCCTGGCGTAGAACTCCTCCTTATCCTGCCCGAGCGGGCTCGCCCGTTGGGCGTTGGGATTGGGATTGGGTTGTCTATAGGGCGTCAGGTGCCCTATGCGATTGGGTGCCCTATGCGATTGGGTCGTTGGGATTGGGATCTTTGTGCTCTCATGCTTCTCTAGATGAGCTTGGGTCGTGAGGGGCCCTTCCGATGGACCCCTCGACCATACATGTTGTCTGCCTCGAGCAGGCTCGCGGCCCGTCGTGGCACCCTTAGCCTCGACATATGCCCCCGGCCACAGCCAGCAGCAGCTCTTTCGCGGACACCCGATCCGATCCGATCCGATCCTGCCCGAACGGGCTCGCTACGCCGATGCCCGTCACGACCACCCGCTGGCCGCCGCCCGCGGCGGCGAGCGCCGCTCGCCCGCGGCCCCGCTGCCGCCTCCGCCGCCCGCCGCTCCTGCCGGCTGCGTGCAAGGGACTGGAGGCCTCCCAGGCGGGGTCGGAGAAGGTGGGGTCGAAGGCTCGCGCCGCGTCGCCGACGTATCGGCCATGCACTGGCGACGCCGGCGATGCATCGGCGACGTCGGCGTGGACAAACTTGGGCCCAACATCGAGCCGCATCGCCGACGCATCGCCGATGCATCGGCGATGCGGCACGATCCTCCGAGCCCATCTACTCTGACCCCATCCGGGAGGCCCAGAAAGACTGACCCTGGTGGGTGTTGAGAAAGTCCTTCACCTTCTCCTCCTCAAGAAGAATAAGGAAGGAAGAAGAAGAAGAAGAAAGAAGAAGAAGAATGACAATAAGAAGAAGAGAAGAGGAAGAAAGACGAAGAAGAAGAAGGAGAAGAAGAAGAAGAGAAGTAAGAAGAAAGAATGAGGAAGAAAGAATAGAAGAAGAAGAAGAAGAAGAATGAAAAGAAGAAAGAAGAAGCGAAGTTAATAAGAAAAAGAAGAAAGACGACGAAATGCAGACGTACTTGTATAAAGGCGAAGAAGAAAGACAAGAAGAAGAAAAGCAGAAGAAGAAGAAGAAGCAAGAAGAAGAAGAAGAGCAGACAGAAGAAAGAGAAGGAAGAAGAAAGAGATATAAGCGATTGGTTCAAGAATAGAATAAGAAGAATACTGAAGAATACGATATAATAATAAGAAGAATAAGAAGAAGAATCAGAAGACGAAGAATAAGAATGGCAGACATGATATCATAATCATAAGACTACAAAAAAACGAACGACTAAGAAATAAGAATAATGAAATAATCCTGCCTACTCACTTACTCATACTCATCATCATCCTACCTCTAATCCTCCTCTAATCCATAATCTTTCCTCATAATCATCCTCCTACCTAATCCTACGACTAATCCTCCTACTCACTACCTACTACTCTAATACTATATCCTCCTAATAATACTCATCATAAGACTAAGCATACTCATACTACTCATCATCAATGAATCCTCTCACAGGTGTATACATCATAATTCGTCAATCCTCATGCTAATCATCCTATACTCCTCCTCTTTCTTCCTCCCTCCTCCCCCTCCTCCTCCTTACTACTCCTCCTCCCTTCCCTACTCCCTCCTCCTCCTCCTTCCCCCCACTCCCTCTTTCTCCCCTCCTCCTTCTCTCTCTCCACTCCTCCCTCCTCCTCCCTCCCCCCCGCCTCCTCCTCCGCCTCCTTCTCCCCTCTACTCTCCCTCCCCCTCCTCCTTTCTTCCTTCCTCCTCCTCCTCCTCCTCCTCCTCCTCCTCCTCCTCCTCGCAAGACTGGACCCTGGGCAAGAGTGACCTTCGGCGCGCGGCTTCCAGGGGGCCGCGGGGAGGGGCAACAGCGCGCAGGCCAGCGCTGGGCTTCGGTCGGGCATGTCCTTCTACATGCGGGCTTTTGGAGGACACTTAAAAAATCCGCCGGCCCCCTTGTGGGGCCACCAGGCTGTAGGCCGAAGGTTCGCAGTTTCCTGTGCCAGTTGCAGCTTTTAGTTTTCACTGTCGCAGTTCTGCTTCTTGCTGCTCACTGTTCCTTGTTGATGGAACGCGCGAGGGGGGAAGGCCCAAACGGGCAGGTTTAGCACGCCCTGAACGTGTGCTCTGAATTGTTGGGGTGGGTAAAAATTGGCACCCCTCACGCAGATCGGCGGGGTCAGGGTCCAAAAATACATGGGATTTGCAACATTTCTGACATTCGGTGGCACCCCTCTCGCAGATCGGCGGGGTCAGGGTCCAAAAACACATGGGATTTACGACATTTCTGAAATTCGATGGCACCCCTCACGCAGATCGGCGGGGTCAGGGTCAGAAAACCCAAGGGATTCTCAACATCTCTGAAATTCGGTGGCATCCCTCACGCAGATCGGCAGGGTCAGGGTGCAAAAACAAATGGGATTTGAAACATTTCTGACATTCGGTGCCACCCCTCACGCAGATCGACGGGGCCAGGGTCCAAACATACAGGGGATTTGTCACATTTCTGACATTCGATGGCACCCCTCTCGCAGATCGGCGGGGTCAAGGTCCAAAAACACATGGGATTTGCAACATTTCTCACATTCGGTGGCACCCCTCACGCAGATCGGCGGGGTCAGGGTCCGAAAACCTAAGAGATTCTCAACATTTCTGAAATTCGGTGGCATCCCTCATGCAGATCGGCGGGGTCAGGGTGCAAAAACAAATGGGATTTGCAACATTTCTGACATTCGGTGCCACCCCTCACCCAGATCGACGGGGCCAGGGTCCAAAAACATATGGAATTTGCAAAAATTTCTGACATTCGGTGGCACCCCTCATGCAGATCGGCGCTGTAGGGTCGAAAACCCATGGGATCTCAAACATCTTCTGAAATTCGGTGGCACCCTCATGCAGATAGGCGGGGTCGGGTGCAAAAACAAATTGGGATTTGCCAACATTTCTGACATTCGTCCACCCATCACGCAGATCGACGGGCCAGGGTCCAAAACATAACATGGGGATTTGTCACCATTTCTGACATTCGATGGCACCCCTCTCGCCCAGACGGCGGGGGTCAGGGTCAGCGTCCAAAACACATTGGATTGCAACACATTCCCAACATTTCGGTGGCACCCCCACGCCTAGATCGGCGGGGTCAGGGTCCGAAAACCCAAGGGATTCTCAACATTTCTGAAATTCGGTGGCATCCCTCATGCAGATCGGCGGGGTCAGGGTGCAAAAACAAATGGGATTTGCAACATTTCTGACATTCGGTGCCACCCCTCACCCAGATCGACGGGGCCAGGGTCCAAAAACACATTGGATTTGCAACATTTCTGACATTCGGTGGCACCCCTCATGCAGATCGGCGGGGTCAGGGTCCGAAAACCCATGGGATTCTCAACATTTCTGAAATTCGGTGGCACCCCTCACGCGGATCGACAGGGTCAGGGTTCAAAAACACATGGGATTTGCCACATTACTTAAACTCGGCGGCAACCTTCACGCAGATCCGTAGGGTCAGGGTCCAAAAACACAGAGGATTTGCTACATTTCTGAAATTCGGTGGCACCCCTCACGCAGATCCGTAGGGTCAGGGTCGAACAACAAACAGGTCCCGACACTGCTTGACGACGGCGCCCAGACCTCATGATTAAGCTTTTGCATCTCCCATTCTCCGAGACAGGGGGCCGGCGGCATGGGGCGAAGCCCTTACGGATAAAATCGCCAAAACATATTCCAAAAGGGCAACACAAGCAAAGCAAGACATCGTCCCTGTAGCATTGTCGGACTATTTTTGAATATTCCCCCCGTGGAGGGACATGCCCGGCTCAATCCAACGCGCAGCTGGAGCAGGGGCCGAGCGTCCCGGCATGCCCGCAAGCCCACCGCGACATCTGCTCTGAACAAGAGAATGCTCGAATAACCCAAAACCGCGCTTTCAGAGCATGATTCCGATGTGATGCATCAAGATAAGACGGCGTCGGCCAGAATTGTTCTAAGACCCGCTTGGCGTACGCCACAGCAGGTTCTTGGCGCATGCTCTGGTGGATGACAAGCAAGCCAGGACGCTTCGCCCCTGCTTGAGCAGCCGATCCCCAGAGGCCTCCTATGTGGGGTCCGAGTGGACGGGGTCGGGGGATCGCGCCGCATCGCCGATGCATCGGCGATGCACCGCCGATGCGTTCGCGGTGCACCGGCGACGTCTGCGATACCTCGCCGCCGTTGCGTGGAGAACAGTGGGCTCCGCATCGAGCCGCATCGCCCATGCGTCGGCGATGCGGCGCGATCCTCCGACCCCATCTACGCGGATCCCATCCATGAGGCCGAGGCGAACACGACTTCGCTGCGGATGGGTCCCTGCCGCTCGCGCGCTTCCTGCCGCTACCTCTTTGCGGCGGTCGCTGGTGATCACCTCTGGCGCTGTGCGTCCCTCGGTGATCACCTTTGAGCCTGGAATGCCAGAGATCCGACGTCGTGATTTTTCCAACACGAGGTCCCCGGAAACCTCGACCCATTCCCCAGGACCGGCTTCTCCTCCCGAGTCGCTTCTTGACGGCCCCGGGGCCCGGCGAGGGCCGCTGGAGGCCGAAAAGCGAAAAAAAAAACCGCCCCGATTTTTGTCCAATGCCTTGGAGGTCTGGAAATTCCTGGCCGTGGCCGCCATGCCCACGGCCGCCACCGCGCCCGCGGCCACGGCGGCGCCCCCCGGCGCCGCCGGCGCGGGCGGGCCCTGCGCCGCCAGCGCCCGCGCGTCGGAGGCCGCGGCGGGCGCCGCCCCGCGCGGGCCGCTCGCCGCCGCCCGCGCCGCCGCGCGGGGCGGCGCCGCCATCGCCATGGCCCTGCGCGGGGGGGGCGGCGGGAGCGCCGCGGGGCGGCCCTCGGTGCTAGAACGGCTGGCACGAGCGGCGAGCCGACAGCCCCCTGGCGGGCCCCAGGACACACAAAGAAATGCACACAGATAACAATCCTCCCCATCTTTTCGGATAATTTCTGGGTTTCTGTCATCCCCCCCACTTCCCATATTTTCCAATCTTTTCGGAGGAATCGAGGATTCATTGTGTCTGTGTGTTTTTTCCTCTCCTGACCCTCGCGGGTCCTGGAGAAATCCTGGCGGTCAGGTTTTGCTGCCAGCTTCGGCCCCTGGAGGCCCTCTCACTGGGCCTCGGGGCCGTCAGCAAAGCGCTTCGGGGCTGAGGACCGGTGCAGGGGAAGGGGTGTCCAGACCTCTGGGGGTCCACGTCATGAAAAGCTCATGAACTCGGGGGTCTGGGAGCATATCCGTACCTATACGACCACCCTTCGGGTGAGAAGGAGGTTGTGGGGGGGGAGAGGGGGGGAACCAACGTCTGGCTCAATCGATTTCACCATCGATCTCACTCAACGGGACATCACGGGACACCACGGGACACATGTCGATCTCACTACCGATCTCACTCCACGGGACACCACGGGACACCACGGGCCACTACGGGCCACCACGGCACACCACGTGACACCGCGGGACACCTCTCGATCTCTCTATCGGTCTCACTATCGATCTCGCTCAACGGGACACCATAGGACACTACGGAACACCACGGGACACCATAGGACACCACAGGACACCACGGGACACCTCGGGACACCACATCGATCTCACTATCGATCTCACTTCACGGGACACCACGGGACACCACGAGACACCTGTCGATCTCACTTTTTGGGGCACCACGGGACACCACGGGACACCTGTCGATCTCATTATCGATCTCACAATCGATCTCACTTTTTGGGACACCACGGGACACCTCGGGGCACCACATCGATCTCAATATCGATCTCACTGTCGATCTTACTATCAATCTCACTATCGATCCCACTCAACAGGACACCACGGGACACCACGGGACACTGCGAGCCACCGCCGGACGGACGGACGGGAGGGCGGGGGAGAATCATTTGTCTTGATTTCGCCCTAACAACGGCGGACACCACGGGACACTACGGGACACCGCGGGAAACCGCGATCCACCGCCGGACGGACGGACGGGCGGGCTGGGGGGAATCATTTGTCTTGACTTCGCCCTAGCATAGGCGGGCTCATTCCTCTCGCGCGCCCACGCAGCTTCGCCCCGCCTACATGCACGACACGAATGAAACGAAACGATTTGCTGGTTGAGGGTCTCCGTTCCGCTGTGATCTCACCCCCCAACCTCCGATCCGCGCCCTCGCAGTCTGGATTCTGGGTCTGGATTCTGGGGCACGATCCCTAAACAACTTTGGGCATTCACTGAACAACGTTGGGCGTTCACCGAACGGCCCTGCTCTGCTCGATTCCTTCCAGAGGTGCGCTTGCTGGAAAGATCCGCTTGTCGCGGTGCTCATGCCGAGGGTGGCTCTCTTGCCCTCTAAAACGATGGCATCAACACAAACTTCCGGAGTCCCTCGTGGATTTCTTGGATATGCGCCTGGAGCTCCCTGGTGGCGCCTGTGGCGCCGCCCCTGGCGCGCTCCGCGCTGCAGGGAGGGGGGTGTCCCGCTGAAGTCGGGCATGTCCCTCTACGGGAGGAGCAGACAAAAAGAGAAACAATAGTCAGGGGACGATTTTTCTACCATGTTTGACTCTTTTTGAACATGATGTTTTGACTGTTTCTAATCTTTCCACCAAAATCTGCCTCCAGGAGAACATGCCCGACCCAACCGAATGGCCTGGGTGGGGGCGGCGCGAGCGCCGACTGTGGTCCTCGAGCCGAGCGGCTGGGGCTTTTGTCTGGTTACGGCCAGCCTCTCCTTGCACCAGCCTTGCAGACGTGCTGCAGCGGACTTCTGCGTGGATTTCTGCCCGAAGCGGCGAGCGGAAAACGAAGTGAATTTCGCGTGGGTTCTTTCTCGTCCTCATTTCTGGCTTGAAGACATCCGCGCGAAATTCACCTCTAAATCCGGAACGAAATTCTCCAGTACACTTTGGGCTCATCCAACAGGGCATTTTTTAGTACATGGGGTTTTTAAACATATAGGATTTTCAATACATGATTAATGTATGAACAAATTTATGCATGAACGCATCGCTGTTTTTAATGCTAAATCCCTGCATGTTTTCATACATGGTCCGCACGCGGAGCATGTATAAAAAAACGGCACCGTATTGCTGTCCGAACGAAATCCGCTCTGCGATGTTGGCGCCGTGAAGCCTCGGCCACGGCTGTATATACCAGGCCCGGACCCGAGGAGCGGACCGGCAGCCAGAGCCCCTGCTGAGCTCCAGGTGAGGTCGGGCACGCCCTCCTACAGGCGGAGTTTGGAAGACAGCTAAAACATAGCCAACAAACATATGAACAAAACAACGCCAGGAATAGTCGAAACATCGCCCCCATACTCTTTTTTGGGACCATTCTCGAATAGCCCTCCTGTAGAGGGACATGCCCGACTTGAGCCTGAGGTGGTCTTTATCTCAACGCCTTCCGCGCCTTGACTGCAGGGCGAGGGGTGCTCCGCCAGCGGGGCGTGGCGAGAGGAGAGCCCCGCGCGCCCGGAGGAACAGCACACCGGTGCGGGCGCCTCGCGCCCTCGTCACGAGCGGCGGACACATCCGTATCCGCATCCTCGATGTCTGGCTTCCGGGGCGCGATCCCGCGGGTACGCGGTCGCACGGGTACTTTCCGCGCGGGGCATCCGCGTGGACAATCGCTCCGCATCCGCGGGGTCGCGGCCCAGGGTCCCCGCCCGCGAGGCTGCGGAGATCGGCTGGGCCACCGAGATAGATGGAGAGGGCCCTGCAAGGGACGAAGCATTGGCCCGATGCTGGCAAAACACGGCGTCGAAGGGCTTTCGCCGTCGGGCTTGGATTCTGTGGCCTTGATCGGAGAGAATGAGAGAGCCAGAGAGCACTACGGTACGCTCTGCATCCCAGGGGCTCGAGCAGAGAGGGGCCCGTGAGCGGCGGCACCAGCGAGCGCTGCCAGTGGGGCCGCAGAGGTGGCTCCGCAGGACGGGGGGCAGAAGTCCTGCTGCTGGTAGTTCGGAGGTTGCGGGGTGAGGTCGAGGTGCAAAGGAGAGCCGCCCACGGGGAAATCGGCTTCGGCCTCGGGGTCGTGTCGTGCGTGCGGGCGAGGCGAGGCCGCGTGGGCGGGCGCTGGGAGTGACCCCGCCGTGGGCGGGTCAGGAGACACACGGCCGCCCCTCCGGTGGGCCGGCGTGGCCGGGGGTGTCCCGCCGTGATGTCCCGCCGTGGTGCCCCGTCGGTGTCCCGTCGGCACCCCGTCGGTATCCCGTCGGTGTCCCGTCGGCGCCCCGTCGGCGTCCCGTCCGTGTCCCGCCGGTGTTTCGATGGTGTCCCGATTGGTGTCCCGATTGGTGTCCCGATGTGTGCCCAGTGGGTGTCCCGATTGGTGTTCCGATTGGTGTCCTGATGGTGCCCTGGTGGTGTTTCGATGTTGTCTCGATGGTGTCCCGGTGGTGTCCCGATTGATGCCCCGATTGGTGTTCCGATGGTGTCCTAGTGTTGTACCGTTTGGCGTTTCGATTGATGTCCCGATGCTGCTCCAGTGGTGTCCTAATGGTGCCCCGACGGTGCCCGATCGTATCGAGGTAGTTTCCAGGATCGCTAGTGAGATCGATCGTCAGACATGGGGGATGAAACAATTGCCACCGTCGTCATCGCCAGCGTCGCCAGTGTGTTAGCCCATTGCCATCATGCATTGCCGTCAGCATCGTCGTCTTGCATCGTCGCCAACTCGTGAGTGCATCACCAGCATCGCCACCATCACAATCATCGCAGTTGTCCTCACTTGGTTCTTCCCACCTTCCCAACCTCCTTATCACCCGAAGGGTGGTCGTATAGGCATTGACGGCGTAATGCTGGCTGGGTGCTGGAGCGCTCTGGCGGTCAAGAGAAATAGGGGCTGCTAAAGCAATGGAGAGAACTTCGCATCGCTTATTTTGATTGCAGACCCCTTCTATGGCAAAGCCTATGCCGCATAATCAACAAGTCGGAGGTTGCGGGCTGAGGTCGACATGGGACGGAGAGCCACCCACGAGGAACTCGGTTTGGGAGTCGGGTTCGTGCCGCGCGTGCGGGAGAGGGGAGGCTGCGTGGGCGGGCGAGAGGAGTGACTCCGCTGTGGCTGGGGCGGGTCAAGACAAAATGCCGCCTCTCTCGTGGGCCGGCGTGGCCAGAGGCGTCCCGCCGTGCGGTCCCGCCGTGGTGTCTTGTCGGTGTCCGCGGGCGGTGGCCGGGGGTGTCCCGCCGTGGTGTCCCGTCGGTCTCCCGTCGGTGTCTGGTGTCCCGTTGGTCTCCCGTCGGTGTCCCGTCGGTGTCCCGTCGGTGCCCCGTCGTCCCGTCGGTGCCCCGTCCGCGTGTCCCGTCGATGTCGCGTCCTGTAGAGGGACAGGCCCGACTCAAGGCAAGTCACGGAAGCTCTTGGCCGTCCCCATGGCGCCCAACAGCGGGCCAAAAGGCAGCTCCCTCGCACGATGCCGCTGTTGCGCGCTGTTGGTGTCCCGCTGGTGTCCCTTGGGCCCTGGGGTGTCTGCGGTGTCTGTGGTGTCTGCGGTGTGTGGGGGTGTCTGTGGTGTCTGGGGTGCCCAGGGCGCACGCGGAACACTTGCGCCCTTGTGACCCTTTGTCTCTTGTGACCCGTGTGACTCGCTGGGTGCTTGCGACCCTTGGGCTCTCTGGGTGCGACG